CATATTTTACTGATGTTAGGATACATTAGGGCAAGGTGTTTTTATGGTAGTTTGAAAATACTGGTAGATAACGAGGATCTGGACTCATCGGGGAGATAGCGAGGATCTGGACTCATCGGGGAGACAGCGAGGATCTGGACTCATCGGGGAGACAGCGAGGATCTGGACTCATCGGGGAGACAGCGAGGATCTGGACTCATCGGGGAGACAGCGAGGATCTGGACTCATCAGGGAGACAGCGAGGATCTGGACTCATCGGGGAGATAGCGAGGATCTGGACTCATCGGGGAGATAGCGAGGATCTGGACTCATCGGGGAGATAGCGAGGATCTGGACTCATCGGGGAGATAGCGAGGATCTGGACTCATCGGGGAGATAGCGAGGATCTGGACTCATCGGGGAGATAGCGAGGATCTGGACTCATCGGGGAGATAGCGAGGATCTGGACTCATCGGGGAGATAGCGAGGATCTGGACTCATCGGGGAAATAGCGAGGCTCTGGAGTCATCAGGGAGATAGCAAGGCTCTGGACTCATCGGGTAGATAGCGAGGCTCTGGACTCATCGGGTAGATAGCGAGGCTCTGGACTCATCGGGTAGATAGTGAGGCTCTGGGCTTTTCAGATAGATAGCGAGGCTCTGTAGTTATCAGGTAGACAGAGAAGCACTGGAGCTATCAGGTAGACAGAGAAACTCTGGAACTATAAGGTAGACAGAGAAACTCTGGAGCTATCAGGTAGACAGAGAAACTCTGGATTTATCAGGTAGGGAATGTAAGATTTTGGGTCCTTGTATACACACAGAGTTTTTCCAAGATTAAGTCAGACACAGGGAATGTCAGAGATTTTTGTCTGGTATTATATCTATGAGTTCTGTTGCAACTATCATGAAAGTGTTTCACATTAGGATTGATATTATAATAATAATAATAATAATAATAATAATAATAATAATAATAATAATATATCTTTATTTCTACAAGTACATGTACAAGGTATACAAACCGTAGCTGACATCAATGACATACTACTAAATAGAAAGCCGCTTGTTATGCTGAGCATTTCCCGCAAATTAGATCAATTTTGTCCCAGGATGCAACCCACACCAGTCAACTAACACCTAGGTACCCATTATTACTGCTGGGTGAACATAGGCAACCGGTGTAAGGAAACACGCCCAGTGTTTCCACCCCTTTGCCAGGAGAAAAAAAATGGATCCTCACCATGTGAAGCAAAATCTTTTGCCACCAGGCCACGGGGCACCATGGCCGTAGAAATTATTATCCTGTGTATGTAGTATACACCTCATCTTTCATAGACCCATCCGCTGACACGTCCACTCCCAAATATCTGAATACGTTCACCTCCTCCATACTCTCTCCCTCCAATCTGATATTCAATCTTTCATCACCTAATCTTTTTGTTATCCTCATAACCTTACTCTTTCCTGTATTCACCTTTAATTTTCTTCTTTTGCACACCCTACCAAATTCATCCACCAATCTCTGCAACTTCTCTTCAGAATCTCCCAAGAGCACAGTGTCATCAGCAAAGAGCAGCTGTGACAACTCCCACTTTGTGTGTGATTCTTTATCTTTTAACTCCACGCCAGAAGTAAATGCGAGGGTCTTGGCAAGAGGCGTGGAGTTAAAAGATAAAGAATCACACACAAAGTGGGAGTTGTCACAGCTGCTCTTTGCTGATGACACTGTGCTCTTGGGAGATTCTGAAGAGAAGTTTGCAGAGATTGGTGGATGAATTTGGTAGGGTGTGCAAAAGAAGAAAATTAAAGGTGAATACAGGAAAGAGTAAGGTTATGAGGATAACAAAAAGATTAGGTGATGAAAGATTGAATATCAGATTGGAGGGAGAGAGTATGGAGGAGGTGAACGTATTCAGATATTTGGGAGTGGACGTGTCAGCGATGGGTCTATGAAAGATGAGGTGAATCATAGAATTGATGAGGGAAAAAGAGTGAGTGGTGCACTTAGGAGTCTGTGGAGACAAAGAACTTTGTCCTTGGAGGCAAAGAGGGGAATGTATGAGAGTATAGTTTTAACCAACGCTCTTATATGGGTGTGAAGCGTGGGTGATGAATGTTGCAGCGAGGAGAAGGCTGGAGGCAGTGGAGATGTCATGTCTGAGGGCAATGTGTGGTGTGAATATAATGCAGAGAATTCGTAGTTTGGAAGTTAGGAGGAGGTGCGGGATTACCAAAACTGTTGTCCAGAGGGCTGAGGAAGGGTTGTTGAGGTGGTTCGGACATGTAGAGAGAATGGAGCGAAACAGAATGACTTCAAGAGTGTATCAGTCTGTAGTGGAAGGAAGGCGGGGTAGGGGTCGGCCTAGGAAGGGTTGGAGGGAGGGGGTAAAGGAGGTTTTTGTGTGCGAGGGGCTTGGACTTCCAGCAGGCATGCGTGAGCGTGTTTGATAGGAGTGAATGGAGACAAATGGTTTTTAATACTTGACGTGCTGTTGGAGTGTGAGCAAAGTAACATTTATGAAGGGATTCAGGGAAACCGGCAGGCCGGACTTGAGTCCTGGAGATGGGAAGTACAGTGCCTGCACTCTGAAGGAGGGGTGTTAATGTTGCAGTTTAAAAACTGTAGTGTAAAGCACCCTTCTGGCAAGACAGTGATGGAGTGAATGATGGTGAAAGTTTTTCTTTTTTGGGCCACCCTGCCTTGGTGGGAATCGGCCGGTGTGATAATAAAAAAAAAATGTAGTATACACAGTAGTATGAGTGAATGTTATGTATAGTAAGTAGGTTTAGGTCTGTGAAGAGTGGTGGAGTGTGTTGTCTGGCAGCAGACAGAAGAGTGGTGGAGTGTGTTGTCTGGCAGCAGACGGAAGAGTGGTGGAGTGTGTTGTCCGGCAGCAGACTGAAGAGTGGTGGAGTGTGTTGTCTGAGAAAAAAAATATTTACAAAAATCATATAGGAAGTCTACCCAGGTACTGGGGCACAAAGGGGAAGTGATTGTGCACTCCGCTGAAAAATTTTTGCTAATCTAAATTTTACCAGGGTTTTTTTAATTACTGAAAAATTTATGAAAAAACTTGTTTCCAAAGCGAAAAAAAGAGCATGCGAAAGAAAAAAAAAAAAAGAAAATTTAAGCGCTGTCGACTTTTTGTTACCCAAAGATTTCAAACACATATGCTGCCAGGTGTGATAATCTTTTAAACTGTTTTTGGGATACCTAAAAAAATTTTTTTTTTAGTTTTATGGTGCATTACGAGTGTATATCACATTTAGCACTTTTACAAACTACTTTTTCTCTAATACAAGTACCCAGGAGGGGATAAGAGGATGGTACTTTATTCCTTATCCTCGAGTTCACACCGAATGAATGCATGTCTGACCGAGACCAACCACAAGGCGTGGGTCTTTGATAGGTGTACACAAACAGGAAGTGGGGAAAATTGGCGCGTGCAAAAAAATGTGAAAATTGCCGAGGCTGTTTGTTCGGCACCAGATGCAAAAATCTGGCGAAATTTTTGGTCGTGAACCGATTTGTTCATGTTCGGAAGCGTTCGTGGCCAGAGGTTCCACTGTGGTTATTTACATCAGCTGATTGTCCTGTGGCCTGGTAGGCAACACTCTCGACTCACACACTGAGGGTCCATGGTTCAATCCCGGCAAAGATGTTAACACTGGGCGTTTTTTCCTTACACCTGCTGTCCCATTCACCTAGCAAGTAGGTACCTGGGTGTTAGTTGACTGGTGTGGGTGGCATCCTGGGGGACATGATTTAAGGACCTCATTGGAAATAAGACAGCATGTCCTTCAATAATGCACTGCCTTTCTTAGGCAGTACATCAACCCTCTGGGGTTAAATATCCGAACAAAATCTTATCATACACCTTTGTGCATTGGAGTAACTCTTGCTGTCTTGAGTAATGTTGGGAATGTGTTGGTTTCTAGTGATCTGTTAAATAGTAATGTAATGGTGGACGAGACGACATGAGTCGCTCTCTTCAACAACAGTGGTGGAACTTGATCTAAATTTCCTGGCTTGTTTTTGAATGAATTAATAATCATTTGGGCTCATTTGGTGTAAGATAGAGGGATGTTAGGAAACTTCCATCTAGTAATTACTCACTCAGGTATTAGCACTTGGAATTTTGTTAATGAGACTTGATCCTTTGGTGGAGAAGGAATCATTTAACTTATTAGTTGTTGTGATGAACTGTGGTTTGTTGAGTTTAGTCAGACAATTATCTCTGGTTTGGTCAACTTTTGAGAAGCCAGGATTGGGAGAGAGGGTTTTCAATCCTGGTTATATCCCAATGTTAACAAGTTGCTGATTTTTTTTTTGTTATCCTGATGGGTGATTTACGCACGTTACTATGTATGACAATTTATGTAACTATATTTATGTATACCTGTACCTAAATAAACTTATTAACCCTCTTGTTTCAGTGAATCTCTTAGAATAATACAGTTATTTGTACTTCCTTATTAGTTTGGTGAAGACTGACATGTAGTATTTACCGAGTTATTTGGTTATAAAGCCCAGTCTATACAGTTTTTCGTAATGGTACTTCTTACCTATGGATGTAAGGAAGGTGTTCATAAGCCATGGGCAACCTACTGTCTTAGTAGTGATCTGCTTCATTTTTATGCCATAATGTTTGTTGTACAGTCATTGTAATTTTTGTCGGAAATTTCTATCCGTTCATCAACATCTCCGTCAATGATAAATTCTTCGGGCCAGTCGAGTGAACTTAGTGCTGCAGTGAAGTTGTGTAATACATATGCAAAGAGTTCCCTTGATAAAGATATATTAACCTAAACTCATGTGAGTCACAGAGTGAGACATGATTGATAAAGAATAAAAGTCACAATACCATGACTGGAACAACACAAATACTCAGCACATAGTAGACAAACTTATCAAGAGGTTTCAGTCTAACTTGGACCATTAACTAGTCCAATTCAGACCAAAATATTCTCATAAGTTTGTCTCCTATGAGTGGGTTGACTGGTGTGTGATAGGCTTACCTGGTAGCCATAGCCGTTGCTTATTTCAACAAAGGCATCAGATTTGTAACTGGTGTTGGTTGCAGCGGAGGTCTTAACCCCAAGACAAGGGGTTTTAGTGGTCTGTGTGGCAACGGGTGGCATGCTGCCACTGCCACTGCCTCGAAGTCCGCTGCTCCAGCTGCTCTTGAAGGACATCCTGCTAGACGGTGGTGCCGCCGCTGCCGCTGGGATCTCTGCGACGGGCACTTGCAACACCGTCTTGGAATCGTAGAGCAACTTGCGACCCCGGGAGTCACACTCGCGGAACAAGAGGACTCTGACGCCATCCTTCTGGAGGTTGAATGGGGCCGGAGGTGCTGCCGACTGCTTCTGCGGACTGAAAAACACTGTTAAACAACTATGATCGAAGCTACAATCATCCTCAGTGACGACCCCATCAACTGGCCAGTTTAACGGCAGAGAATTGGCCATGTCTTCTGTACTAGGGTAGACACGGGGCTGGCTTTCCCGCGGGTCTACCAGGGGGACAAGTGGCTTTCTCGCCAGTGTGTGCATCAATGCGTGTCCACTAAAACATGACTGCTTGTACAGCTGGCATAGCCTAGTAGCTAGGGGCAAGAGCACCTCACTAGTACTAGACATACTAGTGCAACTAGTATCATACTGCCCACACATCACACTTGAGTATTTCAAAGATCACACCATACTTTACAACACCTCAGTCATGGACCCACGACCACTTCTCAACCTTCAGTATCATCACACAAGGCCAGGGCCCAGGAGCTATGACTACCCCTGCAGCCACACATACGTGAGTACTAACACCAAATCTAAGTTGGTCCAACCTTGGTCAACTTAAGTCAAGATTTTGGCCCATTCTCGACCATTTCTAAGCCGCCAACTTGAAAACGAGTACAGTATAGCCTTCTCAATACAATAATTCATAAGGTATATACACTAGTTTCAAGGTATATATACTGAATATACGGGTGATGGTGATTGCGTATTTAGTGAGATGTGAGATTGTAGTGGTGAGAAGGAGAGGACTAGTGAGAGATGAGAGGGAACTAGTGAGAGAGGGCATGAGCGAGAGTTGGCAGAGCAGGGGAAACCTGGGAGGCCTGGGAGTGGGTGGCAGGCCCCAAAGGTTGAGGATGGGCAGGGTAGGCCAAAGTAGAGGGTGGGGCCCCGGCAAG